TTTTCACTGACTGTAAAAATATTGAGAAGTTGCATTTCTCGCTCGAGCGACACTTTGGTGGCTTGAGCGAAGACACTTGGAAAAACACGCGTTTTAGTCTCCTCGTTCGAGCGAGAGATCCTTCTCTCGAGCGACCTTCGCGGCCCAATTTTCTATAAATATGTGTTTCAGTCAAATTTTAGGGTTATGGTTGCCAGATCTTCTTTTTAGGTATTAAGGTTTTTATTTGGAGCTTCTTTGCTAGTTTCTTTAATGTTTGTTTGAGTTTAACCCATGGTTTGAAAGGTATATATCAAAGGATTGTTTGTTTCGTTCAATACAAAAGAGAGAGTTGTTCTTCGGTGGATTCCATGAAATTTGGGCCTGAAACTTTAGTAGATTTTAGAGTGGCTCATCGTCATGGATTCGACATCAGCGTTACGAATTCAATGTTGGGCAAGACAATTCTGAGGTGAAGACCATGGTGGAAGAGGCATATAGGGGTCAGTTCAATTTGGACGTGGATTCGTTAGGTAATTGAGAATACACTTGTGTAATTCCTTTTATCTTCTTAGTGTATTGTTTTGTGGCTTTTACCCGTGATTTTTTTATTACAATTGGAGGTGCTCCAATTGTGATTTTTCCATGTTAAAATCGTTGTGTCGATTTGTCTTGATTGTTTAATTGTGATTGTTATTTACTAGTTAAAATTGATACATAATCGCAAATCAATATCTAGAGAATTTCTAAATTTTTCTCCCTTTACAATTATTGTTAAACTAAACGCAACTTTAATAAATCAGTACTTATTGTTAATGTTACGTATTTAACTTGTACATCTCTATTCCCTTTACAATTATTGTTTAACTCATTAAGAAGAATGAAAAATAACCTTATCATTTTCCTTCATTGATATTATCCAACTAAGAGGAGGGATACATCATAATTACCACTTACTTTGCTCTTCTAAAAGTTAACATCATTAGCCAAGGTATTGCTAATATAGTCTTCGATAGTTGCTTTTAAATACCATATAAAACACTAGAAATTATTTAATAAGTCTTACTTATATGATGTATATTTATTCTCCTTACGAATTGATGTACATGATCATCTTGCCAAAGAAATAAGAAACAAAAGAGTCTGTATGTTTTATATTATTGGGAGGACACACATCATATGCTATGTATGCCAAACTTAACAATTTGATAATTTCTTGTGAAACACAATCAAAATCAAAAAGAGAAAAAATAATTACGGCCAAGTTTGGCTAACGAAAAAAAGTGTATTTATTTCATCTTTTTATCTTTTTTGGGTCACATCAATCAACATCTTCTCTTTACTTTTTCTACACATAATACAAAAAAATTCAAAAAGTACACTTATTTAGTCTTCCCAAACTTGCCCACTTGACACTATTGTATGATATTTTTTAATAATCACAAATACATGTCTTTTATTATTTTCTAAACATTTAACATAAATATAATAAATTTCACTATCCAACCAATCATAACAAAGAAAGAAAAAAAAAATACTACTTCACTTCACATCTCCTCTAAACCCCGAGGAGTATAAATCTATACAACTCCGGTTGGTAGCTCGAAATATCAGAGGGTCGAATGGCTCGAAATCTCAAAACGACGTCGTTTTAGGCATTTTTTATATTCTCTTACCGGTAAGAGAATATTTTTGACCCATTCAACTCTTCACTTTCGAACTACCAGCCTTTTTTCAAATCTATATGATCATATTTCAACAAATCCAAGATGCTGACCTACCCACCACTCCAAATGGGTATCATCCCAATTTCCATATAATGTTGCATTTCACATCCATTCATCCATCCATCCACCACTCTTGAATTTGGTCTGATGGCTTCAAGATTGGCCAAACAACACACAACTCTGGTTGGAAGTTGGAACTGATGATTGGTTGTCTTGGATTCTACCCTAAACAGGACAATTTGGTGCACCTAACAAGACCTTGAAATTCTCTGTCCCCATTCATATATAGAACACAACAAAAGAGAAAAAAGAGACACATTCTTTTTGGTTGATTTGATAGACATGTCAACCTCCATATATGACCATCCCAAGATTGCATTTGCATTGTTGCTAAGTTGGACCCTTTTCCACCTTCACTTGTGGATTCCACAAGATTTGTTGGATTAGTGGAAGATCTTATAAAGAGTTTATACTTAGAATTTTTTATTTTTAATTTATTTTTTAAGAATAAACTTTGTATGTTGAACTTTTCAATAATAATACATCTCTCTAAAATTAAAATTTTAATTGAGTTGTAGTAAGATAAAAAATTAAAAAATCAAAATAAAATCAAAATATCACATCAAATGAATCTCACATACATATTAAAACTATTAGAACTCCCAAATTAAAATTCCAAAATATTTTTATACTTTTTTCAATCCTGCTATAGTTGGAAGACAAAGTAGATGCTTGAGAAGTGAAGATTTTAGTTAAAAAATTAAAAAATTAATTTTACTTGTTTTTTTTTTTATAAAATAATATTTTTGTGCTTTTTTCAATCCTGCTATAGTTGGAAGACAAAGTAAATGCTTCAGAAGTGAAGATTTTAGTTAAAAAATTAAAAAATTAATTTTACTTGTTTTTCTTTTCTTATAAAATTTTAAAAAATTATTAAAAAAAATTAATTCTCAAACGAAAAGTAATCTCTTGTGAATTTTGGAATGATGACTCGTAATTTGGTTTTATTTTATTTTTACATGGAAGTCAATAAAGTCTGGTAATTTGAGCTCGACATTTGAGGTTGATTAATTGCTGTTTGGTCATCAGAGGGAAAATTGTCTTTTTGTTTAAAAGCAATTCTTTTCCTAACTTTAAAATAATAATTTTTTTGAATAAATTAGATAAATCACAAACACATTCTTAAAATTTACTTAAATTATAAATTATCTCTCTAGTTCTAGAAATTTTATTATGCCCCTTAAGGTTTCTAATTTCATAACAAATAGGTCATTTTATTAATAAATTATCAAATTAATTAACAGTTTTTAATAATGTTAAAATTTTATTTCAATTAATAATTTAGATAATTTTATTATTGTATAGGTAAATAGTTAGAAATTTTACTTTTTTAATTAATTCTATTAAATAAAAAATTCTGAAAGAAAGACATTTATAATTTTTCAAACTACATGAGACAATTCATATTTTAAATAAATCTTACCCAAATAAATTTTTTATCCTATAAACTGTAACTAATAACAAGTACAACATATGGTCTAACATATAAGGAAAGTGATTAGTAAATATAAAATTTATATAAAAAAAATTCATGGAGAATGATGTACTAATGATATTTGCAAAAAAGAGATTTTTGACTATAACTCTTTTCTATAACTCTTTTTTAGAGCCCGTTTGTTTGTTTGTTTTGTTTTTGTTTTTTTTTTTTTTTTTGAAATGGACAAATTCTAATTTTTTTTACTCATAAATTCCTCTAAAATAAAGAAATTTTGTAAGAAGGATAAAAAATTTTAGATTTATATTTTGTATGATAAATTTACCTTTTCACACCCACACACTCTCTGTATCTTTCTCTTCTTTCTCTCCTCAGTCTGTCTCCACTTTCTCTCTTTCTCTCTCAGGTTTTTCTATCTCTATCTCTTTCTAAGAGTTCTCTCCACTAGTACCACCATTGTCTATACCACCACCACCACCATCTCCACTACCACCACTACCATGACCACCACCTCCATCATTTCCACCACTACCGTCTTAACCATCGGCGTTGTTCGTCACCGCCACTATCGTTTCTACCACCACCATCTCAACCATCAGCACCATTCGATGCCACTATAGTATCAGCAACCACCATTATCACCCTTCGCCTCCAAGACATCAAATATGAGATTGATGATCTTAGATCTAAGATCTATCATCTCAAATCTATATTCTCTCCCTCTCTTTCTCTTTGTCTCCTCATGATGCTCTATTTTTTAGACAGTAAAATTTTATTCTGGTTTGAACCAGATTTGAGGCAATATATGTGCTCTCTCTCTATATATATGTGTATATATTTTTATTTTAGTCCATTTTTTTTGTCATTATTAGTTTGAATATTGATTTTGAGATGTCAAACGAAAATATTAGTTTAGTACGTTCAATAGTGAAATAGTAAATTTTTACTATTAATGTTATTAATTCAATGTTTTAACTAATTTCTCATTTAATATCTATATGAATAATGGTAATAATAATAGTAAGTGTTGTGGTTAGTGATAACAATGGCAAAAATTCACTATTTATATGTTTAAAGTAAATAGTAAAATTTTACTATCTAAATTAATAGAGTAAAATTTTACTGTCTAATAGAGTAAAATTTTACTGTCACTGGAGAATCTTATCAAAAAAATTTCGCCGATCGATAGTGGTCACTGGAAAATTGTCGTCGCCAGGGTGATCAACGGTGGTCGGCGGTGGTCAGTGATAGCAAACAATGGTCGGTGGTGGTTGTAGTAATGTAAGAAAAAGATAGAAATTGAGGGTAATATTGTCATATTTTTAAAATATTTTGAACATTGTCCTTTACGAATCAAATGGTTTTAGTTCGTCCTTTTGGCAATAAAGTTTGAAATTAAGGGACCTATTGCCAAAAACCCTTTATAAATTATTTTTTTTAAAGACAACCGTAAGTGTTTTGAAAAAAAATATATGATAGCACCTCTTTCTGTATAAAAATCCGGTACAAACATTCTTTTTTATATATCATTACTCAAACTTCAAAATATATATATATATATATATACATTCATAAGCTTTGAATTATGCATATAATAATAGGCCTAAACTACAACAAACAAACAGAATCATTATATGAATATAATACGGAAAAGTACGTTTTGACTGCCAATGGTTGGAGGAAAAGAATTCAAGTAACTAATTTCAAGTAATTAGTGGAAAGATTGGTTAAGTTGAATGAGATGCAACTTATAAAGTTGCTTATAATTTAAGCACGCATATGATAACCAAAAAGAAGTATGCATATGAATTACGTTTACATATCAAAATTTGGTTGTTCACCTCTAGACAAGTCCAATTGATAAGAAATCAATTTATCAAAAAATAACCTTGAGAATAAAATAATGTACAATCAAAATGAACCTCCCAAACCAACCAACCAACCAACCAACCAACCCCTATCCTATACCACAACCATCTCTCAATGACACAAAACATGCACATGTAATATAAATACAAGAGCCCTCCTATTCGGACCTCCTAATCACACCAAAACCGACCACGCCTCCGATGTGTGTGGGTCCCACCACACACAGACCAAAAAAATGTCAATGCCTGGTCAGCTTTGGCAGATTGGTAGGCCTAAAAATCAATTTTTTAAATTCAACCAAGCATAGAAGGCTTTTTGTCCAGAATTATGACTTCATGACTTTCACTATTTCTTCAATCAGAACTCCAGTAATCTGGGATTCGATCTCTTTCCCCAAAGCATCAATGTCATCATTCATCAACCCGGACCATGGGGTGGAGACCAGATCTCTGGCAACCATATTGTCAAGCGTGTAATAATTTTTGTCTGTTGGAGGATACAGATGTGCACGAATAATCTCCCACACACAATCCAATAGCTTCCTTCCACGTGGAGATCGTCTTGTGGGACCAATCACCTTCTTCCTGAATCTTGACATAGTCACAGGTGGTCCAAGTACAATTGAAAGTGCTTCATTTAACAAATCAAGCAACAACTTGTGATCACCTTGATCTCTTCTGGACCCTTCATTGTCCTTGGCCATTTTCCTGTAAGACTCTTCCACTTCTTCAAAGATCTGATTGTTTATAGGCTTTGCAAGTGGATCCCATCTTGATAAAACATTTTCAGATGAACCCTCGTACAGACCAGAAGCAACAAGCAAATCTCTTATGTATACTTCTGATTCGTCCTCTAACTCCATATCAGTTTCCAAGAGCTGCTCTTCAATGATTGTCTCCTTGAAACCATCAGCATCAAGTTCATTCAGTTGCCTCCGAAGCTCTGCATAATAAAGCAGAAGATTGTCATAAGCAAAATTATCTTCATTGATCTCGAGATTTACTTTTCAGAATAGCAATAGCTTGTCTAAATTATGTGATAGTATAAGAAAATACACTAATAAAGTTAAAGGGACAACTGATGACTAAACATGGTATCAGAACTCAAGTTGGGGTTGGACTTGGATTCAAGTCCCTTCGTTTGCATTTGGTCCCTTTTGCATTCTTTCTTCTCTTGTTTGCATTCAAAATCTCTGTATGTAGAGATGTTTGCACCTCCACGTGCAAGACAGGGTTGTATGTGAGAGAAGATGTGTAACTAATCCTCCACTAAAGTGGGTATCAATGTCAACTTTGTGTTATACGGGGTTGATATACCCTGATGACAAAGTAGCCAAACAGGTAACAATTCTATTGTTTGGCTGCTTTGGCCTTATTATAATCTAGTAAGTAGTAACATTATCTTGTAAGAAGCTATATCCACGCACGACAGAAATATTTGTGAAAAAACTATAGAAATATAAATTATTCCTGTACCGTTTAGATTAGAGCTAATCTCTCTGAAAACCCGAGGCACAGCGGCATCTTCTAATGGAGATAGATCTGATGTTGATGTTGAGCTAAAATGATCTGCTGCCCTCCATAACTCCTCGTGACCACTGCTGCACACAGATGCAGGGCTTGGTGGCACCTCAGTAGAGTTTTCCTACAACCACAAGATACAATGTGATTAAAGACATACCCACAGATCTACAACCAAAACAATTCAAAGTCAATTCAAAATTTTCATTTTGTTTCTATCTAAAACAACTAAATGAGATCCTTACATGCCTCTCTCTGAAGTTCATCACAACTGTTGGTCCGCTTGTGATATCTTTCATGGAATCACACTCATACTTGTGTGGCTGCTCCGCCGATTGAATCCTTCTGCCAAACAGCCTCCCTCTAAGAGTGAAAGTGTATTTAAAGCTGGAAACTTTTTCTTTGAAATTGAACCGTTCCTTCTTTCTTTTCTTCACATCCCTTTCAATAGCTTCATGTCTCCTCCTGATGTGAGCCCCAGTTAAAATGTGGCGGTCCTCTAGGAGCAGCTTCCCAAATGATGTTCCCGATACTGGGGCTGACAAAGATCTAATGAGGTTCCTAGGAGACAAATCTCTGTGATGCATTACATCATCATTAGGCCCACGTCTGAAAGAACTGGTTTTCTCTTCTGGCTCATCTTCTACAATGTCCCAGCAGCTCAACCTACCTCCAGCTTTGAAGCTACCTAGTGATTGCTCTAGTCTGCCCCTTTCATTATCTAGCATGGATGAGTTTGAGCTGCCACTAGAAACAGTGGGAATATGCAGATTTGTTTCCTCCTTGAGAACATTCTTCAGCCTCTCTGCTAAAAGTTTCCTAGTACCTCTGTTGATAAACTCGGGAGAACCTGGTCCATTATACTGAATCTCACTTCTATAAGACCTTGTAGATTCTGATCTAAGCAAATTCATTCCAAGATCCCTAGTAACACTTTCTCTGACTTGTTTTGCAATACGTTGAGCTATTTGTTTTGGATCCGATGGCTTTTCACTATAAGGGGTCTCAATTCCACCTCCTCTGACTATCGTTCCCCTTTTAGTTTTCCCTTGCAGCTCACATTTTAGCCTTTCCTTTACCTCCTCAAGAAAATCTTCTATACCACCTCTCTCTTCTGAAGTGCCTGAAGAACTGACCCAAGGCTCTTCATTGTTGGTCATCTGCTCAGGGCCAGGCCTCAAGATCACTATCCTTGTGGGAGCAGAAGATATATCCAATTTCTCGCCAGAATTCATCAGAGTCGACCACTCGAAGTCTCTACTTAGGGTTCTACTCCTTAAAGAATATGATTCCTTTTGCTCAGATGGAAATGTTTCCTTTCTATATCCATGAAGCTGTAGCCCACCTCCTTCACGTGACTTTGCTTTTACAGCATTACCCTTAAGTTCTATAGGCTGCTCATTCGCTGTAGTTCTGCTTGAATTTTCATAAAGAGCAATCTTTTCCTTGTTGAGGGTCTCTTGAGCAAGCCACTGGCTGGGAATGCTGAGCTCAGCAACCTTTGAGCATTCCCTAAACCTTGTCGCTTGCCATGCTTCAAATTCTTTCTTAAACTTCTGTAGTTCCTCCTCTTGAGGATGTTCTCGAGGCTTTGGCCTTTTCAACTTCATGTCAACACGCTGATGATTGGGATCTCTGTCCTTACTATGTTGAAAGGATTCAAACTCTATCTGCCTGGAAGAATTTGAGTTACGATAGACATGGCCTCCTGAACCTTTATTATTGTGTTCCTTGTTGGGGTAATTGGTTCCTGGCTTTTCATTCCTTTTCTCAGCTTGCTGGGCTATGGATTTTGTATCTAATGGTAATGTGTCCATTCCCATCAGACGGGCCACAACGCTTGGTGCATTGCGTCTGGTGGTTGATCCTTTGGATATCTCTTTATTGATCAAGTTCTTCATTGAAACTTCAGTTGGATTAGATTTCTCATACCACTCATTTCTGACTTCATAAGAGTACTGAAAAAAAATCAAATAGCTAATTAGTCAAGAAAGACAGGTAGAAACACACAGAAACAGACGGAGACAGACACGATAAAGAGCAATTCAATGTTGGAACTGATATAAGTAGTACTTCCTTTAAGTGCAATAAGGATAAATGACTATTAAAAAAAAATGCATAACATCTGGTCTCAATCTGTTGTGTACAAAGATTTTCAATTTAAATTATGCAGTGATCAAAAAGACAGAGAGTTAAAAAAAGACATTAAAACAGAAAGAATTTCAGTTAATCAAAATCAGGATTTCTTAACTACCTACAATAGATGTTTTTCTCGTCGAAGAAAGTAAATATTGTCAAAACAATGACAATTATTGTTTTTTTTTTTCTTTTTTTTAAAAAAATAAAATGCAAACCTGATCTGCAATATCCAGACAGCACTACCAAAAACCTAGATTTTTTTTATAATTTATTTTTCACCTAATAAGAACTTCATTCCATTTTGCTTTAACAATAACCATGTTGAGCTTGAACACTTGACTTATCGCCGAGGAATTTCAACCAGGTAACAGAAAATGGTAATTGAAACCTTTTTTTCTGTTTTGTTGGGAACAAGAACCATTTTCCAATTCTTGTGAGCCCACAGTCATAAGATCCAGGCCAAGTAATCTCCTAACGTGCTCACCATCAACTAGAGCAACAGTGAAATTCGTACTCCCAAAATAATGGAAGAGCAATGTACAGTTTGGAGGCTTCTACTACAGTCTACATCATAAGGTAGTCATAAGATAATGACAAGGAATAGTGAATCATTCCAAGTTTTCACCCCCCATAAACATGATATAAAGCTCAAACAAAATAAGTTATCTAGTAAAGTTATTACCGGTATATTGTCTCCAACAGCACAATAGCTCTGAGAAGTTTCTACTGGCAGCTCCAAGCTGTTTCTAGGAGCCTCTAAACCTGTGGAGTAGTATCAATGGCATTAAACTTCTAATTAAGGAGCGCAACAAGACAGCCACATGGAAATCATAGTACCACATGGAATTTCAAGTGCAACATCCATCCTGACAATATGGTGAATCGAATTCACAATTAAATTACTAGTTCTACTCTTTAAAAAGCAAAGAGATTTGCACACTTCTTTGATTCAAAGGGTCTTAAATCGCCTTGATAATTCCACAAGGGCCTTCTGTCTTAAACTTATTCAGATTGGCATCATTCTGATACATGTATCTTAAACTCTTAGCCAATTGTATAACCATTCTACAATTCATTGTGAAAATCAACTAACTACATTTTGTGGCTTCTAGAAATTCAGAATTAAAAAACAGTCAATTGACTCAATTCATTGACGTGTGCTAACTGCTAAGGCAAGGTTTCGAGTGCCCACAATTGGACATGTAGCCAGCTTGAACCTGCAGGTTCTCCCCTAAATTCCCTCCTCTCTGATGTACACAAGGCAATCCAATACGTACCACCAACATGTCTCTTCTGTGTGAGAACTTTCCTCGCCATGCTACCCTGATTGAAGTCAAAAAAGTGTGATAAGCCTTCCATGCTGCCAGTGGGTCATCCTCAAAGCTGCAACGTCCTTAGTATGACATCTAGGTTTTACGTCATAAAATCCACAGATATTGTTTGTCATCAAACAAAGATAGCGCCACAAACTTGATTTACAGCTGCAAAGTTATGATGCAAATTATTAGTAAAATGGACCACAACTCATTCATAGCAAAAGGCATGAGAAAATCAATCACATGATTTCTCACACTACAACACAATGAAATACAACTGTAAAACTGGAAGGTCCAAGGAATCATGCCTATCATGAGACTAATTTCATGAATCTTCTCTATTCTTGATGGAAAGACAACAACAGATAGTTTTATCTCTTTGAACAGAAGCAGACTATTTCCAGCATAATTTCAGTGTGTGAGAAATACTAAAAATAAAAATAAGGACCAATCTGGCATGATTTACCACCGCAATCTTGTAAAAGAGTCTCTCAAAAAACAGAAACAATGAATGAGATCATAAACAAAGAGGAGTACGTATCTTACGCATCATTTCACACACACAGAGAGAGAGAGAGAGAGAGAGAATGCCTTTTGCATGACAATCAAATTTCAATCACAGTGTAGAACTGACTGACACAATCAGGATAATCAAGCAGGGTCAGAGTATTCTGAATCATATGCTACTCTTCCATCATTTTGCTTTCAAATAACATAAAGTCATCTAATAATTACCAGACCAATTCAGAAAATAAGCACAGAACAAACAATTTAGTAGCCCAACTCCAGCCGGAACATCTAGTTTCACGTCAATTACGGAAGAAATTTTAAGTCAACAGAGTAACAGGTGTGTTTGGTTGAGGGATTTGGGGAGGGATTTGGAAAGGGAAATGGAAAAGGTGTGTGAAACTATGTGAAACATAGGCATGATTTATTCACATTTCACCTACCTTTTCCATTTCCCTTTCCAAATCCCCCTCCAAATCCCCCAACCAAACACAGCATAAAGCAAACAGAGGAGTCATAAAATCAACATCTTCATCAATCAAATATGACTCGAATCTTCTGAATATTTCATAGGTATATATATATATATATAACTTAAATTTCAGATTCTACATGAACATGGATCTCAGAATAGCACAATTCGATTAACAAAAAAAAAAACAATTGAACAGTACTAATTTCACATTAAAAAAAAAAAATTGGAAATTGACAAACTCAAATCCATCTAAAACAATTCCATAACCTTGAGCAATTAGACTCAATTTTCAAAATCTAATTCACAAAAACCTCAATCAAATTCACCGAAACACATTTACATCAACAGCAACCCAATCTTTTCCGTCTAACATTTAAACTTCGCACTACACAATCATTTCAAAAAAAAAAACCCATAATTCTAAACGCACCATTGAGGAAGATCACAACGACCCAAATGCCGAATCAGTCAGAGAACTCTCAATCTCGAAGTCAAAACATTGAACAAAGACTCATCGTCCATGGCATTGAAGTTCTGTAATCGGTATGCAGAGAGAGAGAGAGAGAGAGAGAGAGAGAGAGAAGCAGAAAAGTGGAAATTCAAAGCTGGGTTTGAACCCTAGCGATAATAATAATGAGAATAATTGAAGAAAAGTTGTGCTTTTTGAGGGACAATCCATTGCTGGAATCACACGACCAGAAAGCCAAAGGGTTTGTTTGGGTTAGTTTAATTGTGGGGAGAATGCGAGGGATCCGAATCGGGTACTTCGTGGACCACCGAATGTGTGCCAATCGGCGTCAAAATAATATTTTTTGATAGAAACTTTTGACTTTTTGACACGTTCAAGGGATTTGATTGGCTGTGTCGGTGGTCCATGAACCGGTGTAATTCCTCCATTAGGCTTTGTTTAAAAAGATTGGGAGATGAACCGACCAAATTTTGATATAAATATAGGAGTATTATTTTATTCTTATTCATATATCACATCTTTATTAGGTTAGACGTCGTTTAGATGTAAATTTGAACTTTAGGAGAATTTGTGGGGCTTGTATAACCTATCATAACACTCGTTTGGATAACAATTCATTTTATTTTAGAAAGTGAGTTAAAAGTCACTTATCAATTTTAATCCAATTTCTCTCTCACCAAAAAAAAAAAAATCAAAAACAATATACTTCTTATAACAAAATTTAGGTGAACAACTATTGAATATCATCAGATTAACACAATAAGGTGGGCAACTATTTTATAGTAGATTTTCTTTTCTTTTTTCTTTTTTTTTTTTAAGTTGGTTTAATTTTCAAAATGGCTAAAAAATTAACTTAAATAGCCAAAAAAGTGTATTCAAACCACTCTCAAACATGATTGATTTTAAGAATCTCATTTACACATGAATCTTACTACCAGTAACAAGATTTTTGATAATCGAATTTTTACTTTCTATTTTTTTATTTTTATCATTCAAACACAACCTGAGTTAGTGAAGAGAGTCATATGTTGCCAAAAGAATGCCCCTAAAACTGGCCTGTGTAAAAAGTTTTGATAATATGGTTCAAGAAGGTTGGTTGGTTGTACCTTGAAATGCTTTTGCTTTGAGCTTCTTGTCATTTTGCAGATCATCCCCACCTGAAAGCTGTCCACCAAGGCATGAGAAATGGAACTTCATAGCTAGGCTTCAATTTTAAATTTGATTCGACTTTTCCCTTTTTCTATCTCTTTTGTTTCTTACTTTCTATCTTGTTTAGACTTGGAATTTCGCATGCAATAACATCCCCAACCAAGAGTAAGGCATAGTTCAAAAAAAAAAAAAAAAAGAGTAAGGCTTAAAAAGTCAAAAAAAAAAAAATTTGTTTGAAATACATAGTTTATATATCTCAAATTATAAGATATACAAATATCTATATTTATGTTTCATAAAAGTCCATTAACAACATTAAAAAAAATTGACTTTTAAATATTTTTTTTAGTTTAAAACCTAAAAGGTTTCACCGTATGTTGTCAAAGTATGGCAACCCATAACACATATTTTCAATTTAAACTTATTTGTAAATTTTTCTAATTTATTGGATTTGGAAATGGTAAATGTACTTGCGAACAACACCAAACCTACAATCATAGTGAATATGATAAGAATCATTCCTCTCTCTTGTTGGTTGGTTGGTTTGCAGGAAAAAATAAAAAAGAAATTTCAAAATATTTTCTATTACTTTTGAAAGAAATTAAAGTACGACACTTTAAAAAGTTATAAATATTTTATTCACTTTCCCTCTCACTTTCTACCCTACCAAACATACCACAATAACCCGGACAATAGGTCCAAGACAGCTTGGTTTCCTTAAAAAAAAAAAAATTAAAAAATTTAAAAAAAAGCTTGGTTTAATTATTATTTTTTAAAAAAATATTTTGATTACATCTAATGAGACGCTAAGGTCGTATTTGATTGTCGAATTAGGTTAAGTGAGATTACGAGGATATGCCTCGTTTGGGAACAGGCTTTTTCAGTAATTTTTTGACTTTTTAGCTAAAATGTGATATAAAAAAAACTAGTATTTTGGGATGACTTTTTGACTTTTTACGAAAATATGTGCAAAAAGTAGAAAGAAAAGAGAATCTTTAACTTTTTTGTATGGGTTGTTAGCTTTTTAGTTTTTTTAATGACTTTTTAACTTTTTAGCTAAAAAAGTCACTTGCCAAACGAGGTCTATCACTAACATATGAGATTATTAGTGTACGAGCATGAAATAATATTCTCGTATAATCCTGTTGATCAAGTCTGCACTCCTCCAAACGTCGTCGCTTTACTTCCTAAAAACACAAACGTGAGCTAGCCGGCGGGTGTATGCCGCCTCTCCGATGCCTATGTCAACAAAATAGATAAATAGACAAAAGCTCTGTGTATTCGGGAATCAAAGTTGTGTTACCTCCTCCATAGGTTCTGTTATGAGCTTTTATAGATTCTGTGTGGCACAATCCTAGTAGGATTCTTATTCCTCCATGTAGAGTTCTCCTAGGAATCACTCTCCCGAAAGATAATGCTTATCCTTTATGTAATAACCTTCACCACTACTTACCGTTAAACATTGATTACCGTTAAACTGAACTGATTGTGACTGATAATTGAACTGATTAAAGTACTGAACTGACTGACTGAAAACTGGAACTGGATTGAATGAGTACATCTGTTTGAATTGCATTCTTATCTGTTGATTGATTATTTGATCTGTTTGTGTTTTGTGTTTAAACTGCTAATTGAAGGCCTTATCGGCGGCCGAATCGGGAATTGATTGGTGTTTTGTGATCCTCATAATTAATGTGATTTTATAGTGTATTTATCTGAAAGCTGATTAGGTATGATTAAATTAGATTAAAACGAGTTAATTGCAAAGTTTGCCGTAATTACCAAATTGCCACCCTTAGTGGCCCACTCAATATAACATGTGAGCCTTGTATACACTTGAAACAAACATTTCCTCAGCCCTTTCTTGAGCCTTGCCGACCTAGAGAGTAGAAAGGGAGAGAAATTGGTTTTTCACCTTGAATTGCTCGGAAACTTGAAGAATTGCTTGGAATTGAAGTGTAAATTGTCAAATTGGACTCCTAAACCTTGAATACAAGACTAAGGTAGGAAACTCATCTTCTTTTTGTGGTTATTGAGCTAGTTCTTGCATGATTTATACTTCATTGTAGAACTAAGTCATGATTTGGTTCAAGAATGTGGAATTATAGCTTCATTTCATGCATGCATGTTTGAATTGTAGATGTTTGAGTTGTTTTCATGGCAAAAGGTACCGAAACCCCGTACTTACATATCTGCCACTGTGCAGGAGAATCCGGATAGGTGTTTGAGTGTTCGAACCGTAATGCGGAAG